TTGCTTGAGCCCAGGAGTTGGAGGTTGCTATGAGCTGTGATGACACAGCACTCTACCCAGGATGACAGCTTGAGACTCTGTCTCAAAAAATAAAATAAAATAATAAATAAATAAAAATAGAAAGATTAGCTGGGTGCTAATGGTGTTATGTGCCCACAGTCCTAGCTTTTGGAGAGGCTCCAACAGGAGGATTGCTCGAGCTCAGGAGTTGAGGTTGTAGTGAGCTATAAGGAAGCCACTGCACTCTCCAGGGGTAACAGAGTGAACTTTGCCTCAAAAAAAAATCACACAATTTATATGCACAAACAGATTCTTTAAAGAACCTTTAAATGAACTTAAAAAATCTAAAAACCAGAGTAATAACACTTCAGAATTACAACATCGTGGCATCATCTCTCCTAAACACATTTGATACTTACCCAAGCACCCCTCCGGTGACAAACACGACGATGATGTAGCCAAGGTCCAATGTGAAAGTAAATACAACCATTCCAATAAAAGACAGAATGTAAACTATCAGAGTAGTCTGTCTAAAACAAAAGCAACAAATTGTTAGTGTTTTGTCTGATTCTCCTGTGCACATAAAAATCATGACCAGCTATACAGTAATGTATCTTTAGCTACTACTCTATCTGTACAGTAATGTATCTTTGTTTTTCAAAATCTACTCCTTCTTCTTGTCAATGGGAAATGTATCCACTAAAGTATGGACTTTAAGTTTAACACTCAATAGCAGCAGACAACAAAACCCACATCATATCCAATGTACAGATAGGAAGGAGGGATACTCATGGATGAAATCCCTTTTTTTTTTTGGTTTGCAATTGTCATTGTTGTTTAGCAGGCCTGGGCCAGGCTGGAACCCACCACCTTCGGTGTATGTGGCTGATGCCCTATTTACTGAGTTACGGGCACTGAGCCGGATGAAATCCTTTTTCTGCCACCAAATGGGGTATTCCCTATTCATGCTTCAAGATTGAGATCAAATTCCACCTCTTCTAAATGCCTTTCTTACCTTCAGAAGCTTATAAGATTCTCAACATTGAACTAATATGATCATTAAAACAGAGTGCAGGCTGGGTGTGGTGGCTCACATCTGTAATCCTAGCACTCTGGGAGTCCGAGACAAGAGAATTGCTTAAGCCCAAGAGTTTGAGGTTGCTGTGAGCTGTGACACCATGGTACTCTACTGAGGGTGACAAAATGAGACT